AGGAGCTCAAGCAACAGGAGGTCACCGACCTCGCCCGACAAAAGAGGGCAAGGCTTGGGCGCTGGAGGAGCGCCTACCCGGCCAGAGTTATTGTACCGCCTGACGGCCTATACCCCGCCGCCATGCTCGTTGCTTCTCACTGCACGGACAGAGAAGCTAGAGAGATACTACGCACTCCTGAAGCTTGCTACGAATTTACCCAGGAGGCACTATCCAAATACCAGACGCTACTTGCAGACACGGAGGACACTACACAGCCTACACTACCCCAATATGCCGACAGATATTGGAGATACCGACCCCAGGACTTCACGGGATGGGCTAAGGAAAAAGTGCCATGTCGCATCCACCGCACCACCATTTTCATCCTCAACCTATTCTCTGGGAAGCGGCGGCACGGAGACATCCAGACATGGATGGAAGGACACGACACCGCTACACAATATGAAGTTGTAATGCTCAGTGTGGACATAGCCATCAGCACAGAGTTAGGTGACCTCACCAGACAGTCCACTATCGACACGTGGGCCGAGCATATCCTGGCCAGGAGAGTGTGGAATACGGGGGGGGGCCCACCATGCGAGACGTGGAGCGCAGCCAGATGGCTGGATGGGCCCGCCCCCCACTCAGAACGCAAGCATGGATTTGGGGGCTGCCCGATGTGACGGATCGACAGTCTCAGCAGCTTGACGTGAGCAGCAGTCTGTTGTGGAGCACGGTGCATTTAATAGGCTGCCATGTGGTGGCAGGCACGAGCGCATGGATGGAACATCCAGAGCCAGCATGGTGGAGGTCTCAGGCACCGTCGAGCTTCTACTGGGAACCCCTGGAAGCCCTACAATCTAGCCCCGTGTGCTACACAGCTAACTTTGACCAATGTGTACACCACGACTGTGGACCAGAGACCATCGGCAAGGCCCCCACCAGGCTCCTAGGGTTTTGTATGCCTACGCTTGCGGCCAACTTACTGAGTGCAGGGTCTAATGGACGATGCAACCACCCCAAAGGATCCCATCTTTCACTGCAGGGAAAAGACGAGCTCGGGAGGTTTCGTACGAGTCGTAAGAACACCTACCCGACAAACATGTGCAAACATATTGCATCAGCCATTGCCGACACGATCCAGTCCCAGTTTGCCTCACCTGTAGAGTGTGATGTGAATGCAGAGGACTCCGACACAACTTTGGTCGAGGATCTCTGGACTTTCTATTGCAAGGAGATAGGAGAGGAATTCGCAGTTGCACCAGACTTTGCGCGTCAGGTACCCCAAGCACAGCGTCAAAGAGTGGATCCAGAAATGCACAGATTCATGGAAGGAAGGGACCAGTATGAAGATGTTCCGACACCAGCTCCCGACCCAGCTCTCACTCCTGCTCCTGAGCCCTCTCTTCCCCTTTTTCCCGGGAACCTGAGCTCTGAGCTTGAGGTTGATGCTTTCCTGGGGCCTCCGCCCGTTTCCTCCCCCCCCCGCCTCCCCCGCCCTCTCTCACTGCCGAGCAGCTCGCCCGTATAGCTGCCCACCGGAGGGAGGCCATGATCCGGAGGGAGGCCAAGCGAGCTGCCGAACACCGGCAGCGTGCGCCCTGGCAAGGCGCCCTCAGCTTCTCCTTCGGCCCCCCCCCGCAGGCGGGCCGACTTTCCTTTTGCTTGTAGCATCCAGCTGCATGCAGTATCCAGAGCACAGACACCATGTCTCATGCCACCATGCCACCACCACCCCCTCTCCTCCTGCCCCTCCTGCCCCTCCTCCTCCTCCTCCTCCTCCTCCTCCTCCTGCCCCTCCCCCTCACCCCCCCTCCTCCTGCCCCTCCTGGCCTTCGCACCGCTCTGGCCAGGCCCGACCCTGGGCCCTGGACCAGTGCCACCGACCGTGAGCCAACCACGCTGGCCTGCTGGCCAGGACCGGTACCGCTGGTGGCTGGTCGCCACCGGCGTCCCCCGGAGACGTCTGTCTGCGGCCGGGCGCCCCCGCGGCTGCGTCTGATGCCCGCGCCTGGGCCACAGTGGAGGCCAGTCCACAAGAAACCTCCCACGAGAAACCCAACCCCGAGACCCCAGGACGTCCATCGATGTTTGGCGTGGGAATGTCACGGCTTCCACGGCAAAACCATCGAAACCCGAGCAACCCGGGGCACCCTGGAGGCGAGCAGGGTGCTCCTTGGCAGGGGCCTCCACCGTACTCGCCCCCGAGGGTCCCCTCCGAGTCTGGGCCTGGCCTCTCCTGCTCTCGGGGAGGCAGGCGGGCTCCCAGGGGGGGGGCGCCTCGGCGCGGCCCGAGGGGGGGGGGGGGGGCACGCCGGCCCTTCCTGCTTCTCGCGCGTCGCGACGGGGCATGCTCGCTCCAACTCGGACGTGCGGCGCCGCGATGTGCTCCACGGCGTGGCTCCCCGGCGATCTTGACCCCTTCCCGTTGGCCGCCTTCTCTCGGGGAGACGTAAGACTCGGGCACGAGGCGCTCGCGGCCTGACGTGGCCATCATGAAAATGACGGGGCCCAATCTGAGATTGGACGCGAACTCCCGCTGCAAACATCTCACGAACACCGGACCGCCAAAATCCAGGGCGCGCTCGTAAAAAAACGAAGGCAACCCCGAGTTCCGGCTTACTCGAGTCTTACGTTTCTTGATTCTCACCCCGAGCCATTCCTTGACGGCCCCGGGGGGGCCGTCAAAAGCCCCCCGAGGCCGAAAACGGCAAAAGCTGTCCGTCGTGCTGTTTGACTACGACGCGGAGTCCGTTCTCTCTCCATTCTGCGGGCCGGGCATGTGGCGGCCAGTCGGGATGACCCGGGTGCCCCCAGAGAGCCCCCGACGGGGCGCAGCTGCTTGGAGAAGCACACTGTGGACCGATAGCTTCCAGCATGGTGGCTCCAAGACGGGGCCCCGAGGACGAGGTGCCTCGAACAACCCTGATCCACCCTTGGATCTATGATGTTCCAACCTAGCTAGTTCAGCCTTGATCACCAGAAGTAATTTTGAGCACCGAGGAAATACCGAATTTTGAATGTTTTCACGTGTCGGGCCCTTGGAGGCGATACTCGTTCGACACTGTTTCGATACTTGTCTGGGTGCTCGAAATGATTTCTGGGATGTGGTCCTTTTACTAAGTTGGGAACAACACAACCTTGGATCCGTTCCTATCCTTGGGACCCCTTCCTTCAGGACCCCATCGTGAGCGTTTCCTTATTCGATGTTTCGGCATTGGGCGGGAATGGGTGGGGGAGGGGGGGGGTCTGGCTCGGGACCTCTGCTTCAGGCGACTGCTTGCAGCAGCGCGTCCCATGGGGGAGACCCCACCTGCCTGAAACAGGCGCCCAAAGCAGCCAAGATCTACTCCACGGGGGGCTGGAGGGGGGGTGCGAGGGCTCGCCAATCGGCAAAACAAGGAATAAAAAACGATCACATGAGGGAAGAGCAGGAGGAGGAGGAGCAGGAAAAGGAGCAGGAGGAGCAGGAGAAGGAGGAGGGAGGAGGAGAGGAGGGAGGAGGAGGAGGAGGAGGAGGAGGAGGAGGAGCAGGAGGAGGAGAGAGGAGGAGGAGGAGGAGGGGGAGGAGGGGGGGAGGAGGAGGAGGAGAAGGAGGATGGGGGGAGGGGGAGGAGGGGGAGGGGAGGGGGACGGAATGGGAATCACATCTCTGAACCACCAGTCCAGAAACATCTCAGACCGCGGGAAGCCTCCAGAAGCAGACCCTCTCTCTCTCTCTCTCTCTCTCTCTAGATAATCGAGCGCACGCAGAAAACATCGCTGATCGATCGCCTTGGCAGGGCGGGGACTCCACACGATCCGCTGTCTTCTTGTTTTAGAGGCCTCCTGGATGGGGTCTGAGTGGGTGGGGATCGGGCTCCACATCGAGCCGCATCGCCGATGCATCGACGATGCGACGCGATCCTCCGACCTCATCTACTCGGACCCCATCCGGGAGCCCTAGATGTTGTCAGTGCGGGGTGCCCGGAAGTCCGCCGACCCCTTGTGGGTCTCTAGGCGTATGAGATGGTTCCCCCCCGATAACCCCCCCCAAGGGACCCCAAACCGGAGATTCGACCCCCCCCCCGGCCCCGGGCGACCCCGGACCGAACGCGTCACGGGGGAGCGGAGGGTTCCGAAACTGGCCATGAAGGCACCAGAACGCTCCCCAGACGGTCCCAGGGGGCCACGATTCGCCGAAATATGGCCCTGGACGCCCACGATGGCCTCCAGGCGGCCTCCGAAGCTGCCAAGACGCCCCCAAAGGCCCCCAACATGCGCCCCAAAAGGGTCCCAAGAAACAAAAATCGTCCCATTCCCTTCGAAAAACAAGCATTTTTCGCATGCTCGCCTATTCGGTTTCCACAACGCCCCAGACGGGCAAAAAAAACCTTCAATATCGGCCCCAGACGGCCAAAGGGGCTCCCAAGAAGGGTCGAACAGGGTCCAACAACAGCTTCCGAAGCCCACAAGACAGCCCAAGAGGGCCCCCAGACGGCCCCAAGACGACACCTGTGCGAGCCTTCGGCCCCAAGACGCCCCCAGCCTGTCCCAAGAACAACCCAAGAGGCCCTGAGGGACCCCCAAAAGAACCTCAAAGGCCTCCAAGAAGCCCCCCGGAAGCCCCAAAGAAAGAAGCCCAAAAACTTGGCCCAAGATGCCTCGAGGTGGCCAGATATGGCCTGCAGACAGGCCAAGGTGCCACCAAGAGGCCACAAAAGAGCACCAAGAGGTACGATAACAGCAACGAAGCAACAGGAACGATGTCGAGCGCCGTGTCATGATTCGGACAAGCCTCGTGACATGCAGTCCTGGAGGCGCAGTACCTTATATAGGGGTCGGCGGATGTGGCGTAAACCTGTAGAATATCCATCCACTCCCGGGGACCAGCTTCTCCTCCAGGATCCTTTCCGACGGCCCCGGGGCAGGCCGAGGCCCCAAAAAGGCGAACGCCCTGCGTCTCGATGTGTGCCATATATGTTGGGCCTCTGGGGTCCTATCATCCTCCAGCCCTCCTCCCGGGCCGCCGCCCCGTCCTGTTCTCGGCGTCGCCCTCCGGGGCCGGGGTGCTCTCGCCCTGGAGCCGGGGCCGGAATGGGCCCGAGAGGGCGCGTGCAGCGGGGGGCAGCGGGCAGCGGGAGCAGGAGAGGGCAGGGGCGTGTGCAGCAGGAGCGATTCGGGGGCAAGGAGGGGGAGGAGGAGGGGTAGGAGGAGGGGTAGGAGGAGGAGGAGGAGGAGGAGCAGGAGGAGGAGGAGGAGGAGGAGGAGGAGGAGGAGGAGGAGGAGGAGGAAGAGGAGGAGGAGGATCGGCCCGCGGAGGGGAACGGGGTCGTGACGGCACGACACGCCGCGACCCGCGGACCGACCAACTCATTTGACTGGGGGGGCCCGCCTGGCTCTGCGGGCATGGAGGGGCCTAATTGGCTCTCCAGAGGGCCAAGACTTGGCCGCAGCATTCGGGAGCTGGTGGTTCGCCAACCTGCGCAAAACTGACTTCCCACTGTTGGTGCCCACGCCACCTGGACACTGGGAAGGCATCTGGTGTAGCTTTCCACCCTCTGTATTGGTGATGCCACCCAGCCGCGCACACTGGGAACACCACAACTGACCATTCATCACGAGGAGCGAGTGAGAGGGGTGCACATGCTTACCTCCAACCCTTAAGGTAAGGTGCGCGGCTGGCAGAATGCGAAACTCCCAATTATATGCAGAAGCAAAAACCATACCACGACAAGGGTTCACTCGCATCCAACTTTCGACTGAGACTCTCGAGGGTCCTCGTGTACAGTGATAGCAGAAGCAACGCTTTTGGCTCTAGGACGCTGCACCATGCAGTGGCCCGTGTCGAGTCCGAGGCCCTGCCGAACCGTACCTATCTTCGCGGACCTCCTCCTGGGAACGGGGCGCTGGTGCTTGACCCCGGGCTGCGAATTGACTACAGCCGCTATTGCTGCTAGTCGCTTGTGGACTCGCTGGGGGAGGGTCTCATACACTTGTAGCATTTTTAGCTCAGGCTGGACATCGTTCAGGGCCTTGGCTAGGCCTCGCTGTGCTAGGGTATCGGCTCGCTCGTTGCCTGGAGTAGCGTACCAGGGCTGCTGGGACTCCAGGAGGCTCACGGCATCAAGATGAGAGTTGCATTTCTGGGTGGAGGCGGGCGTGGGCAATCCTGTCGGGCCTCTGGAGGATCATCTGCTTGATGTGCTGCCACCACTGCTTGTGAGGGCCCTGTATTCGAGCCAGAGCCTTGAGCGCCATCCCTTGAGCACGAGCGAGTTGTCCGTCCAGATCTCCAGGGGGCCACCCGTGAGCAAGAGTCAGTAGAACAGGGCCGCGAGCTCTGAGCACGGGACTGTCTGGGCTCCGTCGACGGCACCGAGTCCTGGGAAAGTAGCTTAGTCGTGGAAGTCCTCGAAATCGAGCGCGAGACCCCACCCAGCCCGAGCGATTCTGACGACAGCTGAGTTTACCGACCCGTCGAGGTAGGCCCTGCGGGCCACGATGTGAGGACCCTGGATGGAGGCGAAGGAGTCGATGGTGGGGAATGGGCCTGGCATGTCGAAGCTGTAAATGGTCTGGTGCTCGTTCCAGTCGGGGGCCTGAGGGACCTCGTTGAGCCTTGCAGGGGTAATACCACGGCACCTGAACATTGCATATCGGGATGCTCGGCGATCGACTGCACAACGCGAGCTTCGAGGTCATGGGTACGGCGGATCCAGTCATGGTCGATGTTCTCGTTTTTCGTGCACTGATAGCAGCGGTGCAGGAGGTTTTCTGGCTGCAACCCGCAGCGTGGGCAAGCGGGGGGGCAGTCATATCCAGCGCTCGACGCCCTTTTTGCCGTCCAGCTGCCACCGATGACCATGTTCTCGAGCGCCCTTGCCTCCTTGAAAAGCATCTTGCGTCGCATCCAACGCATAGTGCGCTGGGCCGCTTTGAGGTGTCCTCCGTCGGTGCAGCCAGCTCCTTCAGGGTGTTGTCCGGCCTGCTGCCACAGGCCCTTCACGATCTGGCGGTGGATCTCGTCGAAGAGGCACTGCAGGTTGGTCTCCTCGGGTTTGTAGATCCAGATGTCGCCGGTGGGGTTGACCACTTGACGGGCTCTTGCAGGTTCCATCCGAGCTCGCTCATCGCTACGATGAGGGCCCCCATAGGGCCAGTAACCGGTCGCCACTGGGTACGCGCCCGAATCATATTAATCTTGTTGAGGGCTGCTGCCCATCCTATTCGTACTCTTGCTTGGTACTGAGGTTGCTGCTCCCAGAACGTGAACCACTCCTTGATCTGGCGTCTGATGTTGTATGAGACGGGGTCTTGCGTGTCGTAGATGTGGAACATGCTGGTTGGGGTACACTGCCCTCCTACCGTGAAGCCCGCCACAGTGGCCGCCGTCGCTCGCTCCTGCTTGACACGCATGTTCGGTAAGCCCATGACCGACGCGTCGTGCATTCCTTTGGCCCGCAGGTTGGCGGTGTAGAGCCTGGCGGTGACCTTGCGCCCTGCTCCTCGCCGTTGGAATATGGAGAAACGCTTGAATCTTCTGCCCACGGCCTCGGCTCTCTTGGCGGCTGTATGTGTGCATCTCTCTCGTCCTGAGGTAGAGTCAAATCCCAGATCACGAACTGTCTTCGCTGACTTGATGGTGACTCCATGCTGCTGGATGGCGGAGACTACTGCCTGCTGGACTGAGTTTTGGCCCAATATGACTGTCTTCTCCGAGACCTGAAGGCCGAGCTGCTGAATGCCTTCGACAAGCGTGGCCGCTCCTTTGGCCATCTGATGGTGCACCAGAGATCTGTGGCCTTCGGCACGCACAATGAGGTCGTCCACGAACTCGCGTATTATGAGGCCCTGGTGGTGGATGTGCGCAGCTTCGAGGAGGTCGTAATGGTAGGCTCTGGCCATGTTGTGGGCTTCCGTGCATCCTGCCAGTAGTCCGTTATGTGGGATCGATGCGCGGGCCGAGGTAGAAGAGGCTTAACACATAGAGGACCACGGGTGAGTAGTCCAGCTGGACTGCTAGCACACTGAGCTAGCTGATGTCGGCGTGGTCATGGAACTTCATGGTGACGAGGTAGAGCATGGCAACTTCTGTGTCACCTTTCGTGGCTGAGCACTCGTCGAGAACTGCGTCGTCGCGAGGGCGGCCTGTAGAGATGATGATCCTTTGATCGCATTGTCCCAGAAGCTGGCCTTGGCTTCGAACCACTCGCCCATCATGTGCTTGTTCAGTCGCCCCCAAACCCTGGTGGGCATGGGTAGAAGAGCTATGGGGCGTTCATCTCCTGTAGCGATCGCGTCTCCTTTGGCTAGCAGGCAGATCCAGATGTGCATGAGCTGGTGGGACCATGTGAGCTTGCTGATGCATGTATGAGAGAGCGCGCCCACAGCGCCGGAGCAAAGGGGGGGGTTCTTCCCTTAGCTACCCCGCCCCTCCCTTCCACCTCCCCTGCTGGAAGCTCCCCCTCCCCCCCCCATTTGTCCCCTCCCTTCTGAAGCTACCCCCCCCTGCCCCCCTCTCGCCACTCCGAAGCTAACCCGCCCTACCCCCCTTTGCAAAGGGAGGGCGGTTCTTCGCTTCCTCCCCCTTCTCCTTGACCCCCCTCTGCCGGAAGCTACCCCCCCTTCCTCCCTTTGGTTCCAAAGGGGGGGGGGCTTAGCAGCCCCCCCCTTTCCACCCCTTTCGGCACCCGGGAAGCTACCCCCCCCTTACGAAAGGGAAGGGGAACTTAGCTACCCCCCCCCCTCCTTTGACCCGCCTCTGCCGGAAGCCCCCCCCGCCTTCCCTCCATTTTTCTCCCCCCTGACGGAAGCTCCCCCCCCTCCCCTCCTTTCCATAAGGGGAGGGGCGACTTAGCTATCACCCCCCTCCCTTGAACTCCCCCTGCCGGACGATCCTCCCCCGTCGCTCGACGTCTTCGTATGACGCTGTCGTCATCCTCGTCGTCGTCGTCGCAGCCGTCGCCGTCATTGTCGCCGTCTTCGTATGACCTCGTCGTGGTCGTCACGGCGAGGACGAGGTCATGCAAAGACGGCGACGGACGACGGATGTCGCACGACCGACGACCGACGACGACCCAGGGTCAGAGAAAACGAGACCACGACCCAGGCGCTGAGAAAACAAGGAAACGAACCAGGGTCCGAGAAAACGAGTCCACGGCCCAGGGGCCGAGAAAACGAGAAAACGAACCAGGGTCCAGAACAACGAACTAGGGTCCGAGAAAACGAGACCACGACCCATGGGCCGAGAAAACGCGCAAACGAACAAGAGTCAGAGAAAACGAGACCACGACCCAGGGGCAAAGAAAACGAGACAACGAGAAAACAAACCAGTGCCCGAGAAAACGGAAACACGACCCAGGGGCCGAGAAAACGAGACAACGAGAAAACGAACCAGGGTCCGAGAAAACGAGAATATGACCTAAGGGCCGAGAAAACGAGAAAACGAATCAGGGTCAGAGAAAAACCTAGGGGCCGAGAAAACGAGACATTGAACCAGGGTCCGAGAAAACGAGATAACGACCCAGGGGCGGAAGACACGAGAAAACGAGAAAACGAACCAAGGTCCGAACAAACGAGACCACGACCCAGGCCGAGAAAACGCGAATATCGGTCCGAGGAAAGGAGACGACGACCCAGGGGCCGAGAAAACCAGAAAACGAACCAGGGTCCGAGAAAACGAGATAACGACCCAGGGGCGGAGAACACGAGAAAACGAGAAAAAAAAACCAAGGTCCGAGAAAACGAGACTACGACCCAGGGGCCGAGAAAACGCGAATATCGGCTCGAGGAAACGAGACCACGACCCAGAGGCCGAGAAAACCAGAAAACTAACCAAAGTCAGAGAAAACGAGACTACGACCCAAGGGCCGAGAAAACGAGAGAACGGGAAAACAAACCTGTGTTCGAGAAAACGAGACCACGACTCAGCGGCCGAGAAAACAAGAAAACGAAAACACGAACCAGGGTCCGAGAAAACGAGACCACGACCCAAGGGCGGAGAAAACGAGAAACCGAGAAAACGAAACGGGGTCCGAGAAAACGAGACCACGAACCAAGGGGCCGAGACCACGAGAC